ACAGAGCCCTAACAGATTAAATACTGGTGCCACTTATTGTTCTTTAGTCTTAATTGTGACACAGCATCTCAATGAACCATTGGAGATGAAGGCTTCTCCATGGGGGCAGTCATACAAGCACTGCTGTTAATCAGCTCCTGTCTGAAGGACTATGTGAGTTAAGTGCCCTGAAAATAAGGAGAAAGCGGGGAAAAGGGAGCTTGGAATGGTAAAAACATCTGCCATAGGTCTCACAAGAGGTCAGGATGAGAAGCAGAAAAGGAAGTCAAGCATCCTGCTTGTTGGCCTTGCTCCTCAGTCTAACTGCACTACCTCTCCCATTATCAAAATAAGGGCACATAGCAAATACATGTAAGAAAACTACATATCCTGAATTATCAGATCTGAGACAAATCAAGGTCCTTTTATTGCACAAACTGAGTACTTTCAACAGGATCATCTTAGTACCTCTCTTCTCCCCATGTGCATCCCTCCAGCACACTGGAACTACAAGAGGAGGCTGCTACATTAACAAATACATAAAACTGGTGGTTCCTTTGGTAGCTCTGAGCACTTACAGTAAAATACCAGCGAAAGTTTCTTCCCACCAGTCAGGGAAACTCCTCTGCTGTGGGGAGTGACTCAGCTGGGACACTGTCCAGAAGGCAACAGGAGATGAGGGGCCCCAATGGCACTTTTCCAGTCTTAATCAGCACTGTCTGCATGGTGATGGAGACTGATAAGTTGCCAGAAGTAATTTCTTTCTATGAGACTTGAAACAGTGGTCTAGAACAGTTGTAATCTTTGTGTGTGTGTATTTCGGGTTTTTTAAATGCAAAATCAAGGCCTTTAATTTCCCATGGTGGTCAACAAACAATTTTGATAGTTTCATCCTAATCTCCTGTAAATATCCATTTCTCCTCCCCCAACCTTACCCAATTTCCACTCCACAAAGCATTATGTTTTTTTTTTTTCGAAGAATCAGACATGCTTATCTACAATAGCACATTTATCAACAGGGAGGGCTGTGACAGAGAGAAACCATCCCTACTGCACAGTGTATAACACATTTGGGAATCCTTTTTAATAAAAAGGGATTTGATTAAAGACAGCCAACTACCACAGGTCAGCAACTGAATCAGCAGTAGAGAAGGAAGAGTAGCTTAGACTTAAGAGACTTCAATTTACTGATTGCCAAGGACTTCCCATGAGAAGTCACTCCATAACTTACTGGAGGGTAGAAGGGAACATAAACCAAAGATCGGGGTGCTTAGAATTAGTATGGTAGTATGGCCTTTCAACAAAACTAAGTTAGGCAGAATACCCAGCATGCTTGTTTAACTCCTAAAAATTCAGTGCTTTTTTTAAATTATACGCTCAGTTATGATATTTCCATGCTTAAGTACTGCCTTGCCAATGGCAGCTAGAGGATTTCCCAGTGACTGGATCATGCTGCTGTGGTAAGTCTAGGCCAGAAACAGCTACAAACTGTGATCTCGCTGCTCCGGAGTGTGTCTCCAGTATGCTGCTTCTGGCTCTCATCACATGCCTGTGCTCCCGGGGAATGCCGTGTGAGCCATGCCGTGCTGCCAGCTGTATGCGCTTGCATGAGTGATCACTGGCTAGAACAGTTCCCCCGACTCTGAAATCACCTTCAGTAATTTCCACCCAGGGAAGCTGCAGAGAGGTGTAGTAAGCACAGACCTGATGGAAGTGTTGGCTGTCCTGATCCTGAACTCAGTTCATTTGGTCTGCCAGCAGTACCAGCCAGCATTTCCAGGCAACTAGACAACTTTAGTGACTCCTACTCCCCTTCCTCCCCAGGAACCTCCACTCAGCCCACACTGACTCCAGAATCAAGACGGCTTGACTGAAACCCAGAGACGCGGCAAGTGAAACTGCAGAAGGAAGATGGTTACAGAAAAGATCCTAGAATGCTGATGGGACAAGTAAAATGACCTTTCTCCAGCCTGACAGTTCAAATGTAATTATTCCAACAAATTATTTTCATGACTTAATATAACGCCTTGCAGCTTTCTAGCAAGGTTAATTAGATTCCTCAATTCAAAACCTATCTGCTCTTAACCAACTTTTAATGCGCTGAAATCCAGTTTTCTAAATTCAAACTAATAAAAGTGATTAGCTGACAGCTATCTGGTATGCTACAATTACCGTGGCATTTAGACCTCAGGCAGAAGATATTTAATGCAAATCAGAGTCAATGTCTCTGCCCATTTGTCCTTTTTCTGATTATTTGATCAATGTGTCATGTGAATCTTGTACAATCCACGCTACTGTGCTAAATAAATAAAGAACAAAGGCAGAGATATTGGTTGAGACAGTTAACCAAAGTTGAAAGACTCTTTTTTTCCTCCCACACTTAATTTGTTCTTTCCACATGAGCATGAAGTTACTGAAAGGCACTGGCTGACAGCTCAAGTGGATGGGTATTTAGCTCTGACATAGCCAGAATTAGTACAAAACTCCAGCTTGCATTGCCATATCAAAAAGTCTCATCAACTATGACTCCAGAGACCACCTTCCCCTGGGAGTAGCTTGGGCTGGATCAAGCCTGGGAGGGTGAGGGCAGCCCACCTATTTGATTTTATCCAATCATAAAAAGCAGTTGTGCTCCAAACTTCTGTTTTTGTTTTATGTTTTCCTTGGTAGATATATAATTAGTTGTGTCTGTGTCTCCCAAATGGCTGCATGGGGCACAGCATGCTTAGAGAGCTGAGGAGGAGTTAAGCTCAGCACATGGTTCTTCTGCATACCAAGGCTGGACACCTCTTCAGAGATGACTTTCTGTGGCACAGACTCAGTGCAATTAGAAGATCAATCAGATGCAGATTGTAATTAAACATCATTTGTTTGAGGTAGGACTAGGATTGTTGTAGGGTTTTCATGTTCCAGCTTGCATCGTGCACGATTATTCCATCTTGGATCATACTACCATTTATATAAACAATATTGGCAAAATTTCTGAATGCTCTGGAGCCTCCTTTCCATTTTCCTGTCTCCTGCTGAATTAAGAGCTATTGGCATGGCATTGGTCTGACCTCCCATCTGATAGCCAAATTGATGACCTAACATTGAGAGACTTTATGTTCCAACTCTTTGATCTATGCATCCCTTTTGGATGAAAAAACTTCGATGTACCACACTCTCAAACAGAGCAAAGCCATCTTAGAGATAGAGTATTAGTCTGCAAAACGCGAGCTGAAATCAGCTTCATAAATACAAGTGCTAAACAAAACTAATGCTCCACTTCAGGAAGTAATTTCTGAGCTGTGAGGAAAATTAATCACTAGAACAGCTTATCAGGGGTAGGTGGTTGACTCACCATTGCTTGAAGTCTTTAAGATAAGATTAGATTTTTTGTTTTCAAAGTCATGATTCAATCACGTTTCTGGGAGAAACTGAGAGTAGGACATTAGGCAGTATATGACAAGGTCCCTTTTGACCTTGGAGCCTGTGAATCTTCAAGTTCTGTGTTCACCTGCCTACCTTCTTGGGCTATGAGAACTGAGTGGACATTGGTCCATCAACCAGCTCCTGCCACACACAGCTCTGCATTAAGAAAATGACTGTAATCAAATCTCATGCTTCAGGACTTCATCCATTTGCTTGAAGTGAGTGGGGAAAAAAGTTTCTCTCTCTTGCCTGCCCACACTAATGGCTAAATACCTGTTATGTTTGGTGGTTGCTTTTCTTTTAAAACATCAGAGAGTGAACACAAATGGATATGGGAAGAGATGAAGTCAAATGTAGCAGCACAGAAAATGCTCTCTGGTTATCCTCTCTTCAGTTAGTCTTTCTTGCTCACACCTCAGATGTGTGCTAGCCATCAACTCTGATGACTATCAATGTTTATAGAAAAGGTATTTTGGCTGTGAGGGTGGAGACCGTAGAAGGAAGAAGGTGCTGATGGAGAATGGGGACTGATATCAACCCCATCTACAAGGACAACATTTATTTGATGAGAACATTTTGATCTTCTCATGTAATCAGATCCTTGTCACTGCAAGATCCTTGTTTATTAGTGAAACCTTGGTCCTGCCTGCTTTCCAATTAAACAAAACCACAGCAGTTTCTTTAAGACAGAAATGTTTTGGTCCAACCCACATCTATAGAAAATAGACCTCAGGGGCAATCTAAGTGAAATTTTTAAGAAATTATGAAATAAAGGAAGATAAACATGTAAAGGAAGAACAAAAAATGAATGGCCTACCCCAGTCTTTACAAACTATAGCAGTTTGTTTCCTAACACTATCACTCAAGTGCGTAAGGAACAAGGCACACAGGCAAGATGCATCAAATATGCCCAAGGTTCTTGACTTTAATGCAGAGTTCAGGGGTCAAATCACCTGTGTTTTATATAAAAGCAAGATATATATTTTATACCTATAGATGCCTGAGATAATTCTGTTCTACACCATTTTAAAAGGAAATTAACTGCTTATCTTTTTCCAGGCAAGGAAGGTGACATGGTTATGAGCCAATCAGTTCAGATTTGTCTTCCTTGTACTTGTTGGACTCAGTTCTGGGCTAATGGGTCCCCATGTAAAACCAACCTGATTGACTCAAAATGGATTTCTTTTTAATCTATGACAGCATACAGAAAATTAAAATCCATGCCTTGGGAGCAGAATACATTTACACTGCTGTTTTTTTTTGCAGCTGCAATGAGAAAGGATGGGGCAGGTGGGCAAGACAGTGCACTGTACCTGAATTCAGTCTGGTAGCCTAGAAGCTGGGGACATGGTGTGAAAATGAACCAGAAACTGAAAAATTCAACTTTATAACCAGAAAGACTACAAACACACAGCAAGTGAGCATGAGATTTATGCTGAAATTACAGAGGAATTCCTATGGATGATTACACTTCCAGCCCAAGCATGGAAAGCAAATCCATCAATATGAATGTCACTACATTAACAGCACAGCTGTCAGGCCTCCCCTTACTGAACCTGGTAAATACAGAAAGGGGCTACAGACACTTGTGACATGGCACTGCTCACCGAAGTAGTCATCAGAAGGAGGATTCTCCATGTCATACAGCATTTTCTTGGTCAGATGTTCCAGCTCATCCTCAGGCCTGAAGGCAGGAGTGCCTGATGCAGGTCCAGAGCTTGGATACCCACTCTGAAAAAGAAAGGACAAACAGTCTGTGATGTGGTATAAAAGCATTCAGCCACAGTAAGAGGGTCTATTGGCTGTTCAGTGTTGAACTTCATTCTTTGTCTCATTTTTGCTTTTTTTAAAACCCAAGGGATTCATGCAAGTAAACATTTAATGTAATGAAAATGGACTCCTAAAAACATCCAGTGAAGTGCCATATATCCTCCGAGAATGAGAAGTATTCCGTGCCTCATAATTAGGTGTCTACTGGGTAGCACATAATAATAAATAAAGGAGAAAATTATTTCAAGGATAACTTGATACAAACATTTTCCAACACTGAAAAAGGCTTTGGAAGCATTTCAGTTTGGATTTGGCAAAAGCTTCCATCACTTAACAATGCAATATAAAAGATGTTAGAACAGTCATTCCTACAGTGGTAGAGTATAGGGGCAAAGACATGATAATCCTGAGCTGCTAGTTATGTCCTCTTCTTGTTTGTTTTGACACAAATCCTGCTGTTAACATTAGTGAGAGCAGAAGCTGGTCCACACATTTTTAGTACTAGGGATACAAAGGTTTTAATATGTGCTTAGAACCTCAGACCCTCTTGGCCTTCATATGCTAACAGCTGGCACTCAATATTTACAGTCTGTCTCAGTGAGTCCTCTCCCTGGAAAACAGCAGGAGTACAGGCATATTTTGAGAAGCACAGAAATAGTCTCATGCCTAGAAGTTTCTTAGAAGAAGCTAAGTTTGGTGTCCATAATGAGAAACTCGGTCATTTCAGGATTAAAAAATGCTGACACCAGCTTCCCTTGCATGCACTGCTTTCTTGAAAGACTTGCATGCGAAAACTAACTTATTTATGAAATGCAGCATTTCAGTAAAGCTAGTGATTTCATTGATTAATTGCTGCCTTCATCAAGGATTTGACCTTAGATATGAAACTTATGAGCCTTAGTCTGCAAGGAAGCATTTTTCCATGCTTCATACCTACTTAAATGGGAAGAAAATGTAAAATCACTGAAGAAACAATATACTGGCCACTTCTGTCTGGCTTATAGAGGCTACATCTGACATGATGAATCTTTATTGAGCCAGTCATGTTCAACATAGAACAGCAGCTTTAAAGCACTGCAAGAGAATTAACTAAATGCTTTCACGCTTTTTTCTTTCAGGCAAGAAGGAGATTTCAAATGAGACATCAATCAATGTAGAGAAGTCTCAGAACGGTGCTTAGCAATAATACTTCAATCATCCACTCCCAGAAACCAAACAGTTGCATGTTCCTGATCTTATCATATTTATTTTTCTAGGGCCCATGCTAAGCTGTACACCATCACCCCCCTTACTTGTTGACCTGATCTATCTCACTGGCACTGCACCATGAGTGCAGCAGATGACTGCACTCCCTTAAAGTGCTGGATTCCCTGTGCACGCACAGTTCAGCAGTTGTACCCGCTGCCTGCCCTCTAATTGATTGTTAACAGTGTAGCAGCAGTGCACAAGGGAGATGGGTGGCATGGTCTCCTAGAAGAAAAGGCACCTGGAGTAAGTCCTAGGCTGGACGAATTTCCCTGGAGGGCTGTGCAAGGTCTATTTGCTGTACGTTCAGCCTTCCTGACTGAGAATATAGACTGGACCTACCATACATTCAGGTCTTCCCAGAGATGTTTTCTTTTTCTGCTCAGGGATTTTTTCTAAGCAATATTAAAGGATTTTCTGCATTTTTCCAGGATTTCTAGATGCCTTTCTGTTGTTCTGGGGAAGCTGCTGAACATCTGGAAATCCTGAATATACACACACACAGCTCAGCACACTCCATCATACAACTGCAATCACGCTGATGTGTTTGGGTTACCACAATGTATTTTTTCTTATGGGGAGACAGGCCTGTATGGTGCATTTGCTTTCTAAGTCATGTAAGTGCCAACTCTGCGGGATATCTCATTTTCATGGGGAAAAGGTCACTCATATGACTGGGAGTTTCAGAGCCAGGTACTTGACACAGCACAACCAGAAGCCCTTGGCCAGTGCTTTGTAGCTGTTTTCAGAAGGCTAGTCGACAACTATTTCATTAGGAATAATAAATAGCATAACCCTGACAAAAAAAAAAGGTTTATTAATAAGCTAATTAAAGGTGCCAAATGTAAAGTATTTAATCTTGGAACAACCTAGTTTCTTCCTTTGCTCTCTTGTTCCTAAGAGCTGATCATGAATCTTTCCTGAACATATATTTTAACACAGCAAGTGCAGCCAAGGATTTATTAGCTTGAGAAATCAATTTGGCAACTGAGCCTTTTAAAATATTATTCCCTCTATTGTACCTGTTTCAGTTCCCATGCAGAAAGGAATGACCATACCACCCCATCAACTGAGACTCCTTCCCTAGACTTTGCATGGAGAAGATAGTATGGCCCAAAGGTGATGTTGCCCCCCATCCCTGTATTTCCCCTTTAGCAATCACCAGTGCAGCACGAATGTATGGAAGTGTCATGCTCCAGCCTTTCTGCTGGGCTCTGTCCACATGTAACCTGAAACACTGCTCTTACCCTTGGGCTTTGTAATATAAATGGACCAAAACAGAAGGCACAAACTGCTGTCTGTTCACAGAAAAGAGAAGCGAGGTGCACGGAGCTGAATTGATTTGCAGATCATCACGCGTGGGCCCTAAGGCAAAGCCCAGACCTGCAGCCAGGCTGCTGCGAGCCCCACATCTTCAGCCTCGCACATAGCCTGCGGGGGCTAGGCTCTGCACTGCAGACCTACCCCAGCTACTCTCTGATCCAAAGCCACCGCATCTGCAGGCCAGCACCAGCCAGGCTTCAGCAGGACACCCTGGGCAGGCGATGTGTGAAGCCTCTCCCTCTCTTCCATACCGGCTTCCCACACCTCCCGATTGGGGGACCCACTTGTGCCTGCTTCAGTTAAGGGCTTGGGCTGTGCCATTTAAAATTTTAAAAGACTAAAATCTGCAGATTTTCAGTTCTGTCTGACTTTCTCTGGTTTTGGAGGCCACACTGCCTTGTACACACAATAAATAGGCTGCTCTCATATTTTATCTACATTGCACTTTTCTAAACCAGGCAGATTTCTTATCCAGTACCCAATGTCAGCATAAATAACAAATACCAACCACAATGTTATGAGATGCTTTAACTTATTTTGACTAAAATTCTATGCCTTTTTGACCAACATTTCAGTGGTGCTAGGCACATCTTTGTCCTCCTCACATGGCACATGCTGACTATGTGCCTCCAGGAAAATGCATTTCATGCATATGAACATGCTGTTGAGTTTTCTGGGACGCACACTCACACAAACATGGAGAGAAAAGTGTATCCTTAGTCCAATCTAAAATGCTTGTTTCAGCAAAACAGTTTCCTTCCTCCTCCTTTGTTAGGTCAGGGTAAAAATATAACTCTGGCTTTCCTTACAAAACAAACTGTGTTGTTGTTTATTAAACTTCCTCTATTTTCTCCTGATCTGTACAATGATCAAGGCTATCTAGAAATCCAATTTGCTGTCTAATCTACCATAGTTATCTTCATGCATTCTCTTTTCTCTGTGATGCCTCAATGCACACAAATATATATTTCCTTAGCTAGACACAGCTCAAGGCTGGGGTCTGCGCTGAATTGTGACATGGCCTCCCAAATTCCCTGAGCACCAATCTGTCTGGATAACCACAGCAGCATCTGGGATGATAAAGTGACCCATGAAAATGTAAAAGAGCCTTGTTCAACAAAAAGCCAGCAGGAAGGACCATACTTTGAGAGCTGGAGCATCTGAGTCCAACCAGTGCTACTACTATCACATACGAAGCATCCTCAGTGAAGAGCATGATGATTGCAGTTACGTGCGCAGATGCAAATGCATTCATGAATAAACACTGTCCTGCATGTTTAGTTAATGGGGTGTTTAGGAAAATACAAGCATTCCCATAGTTAAACGCTGTGGCAGAAACTATCTTCATGCTACAAATCAAAGGAAGTGAGTTAATCACTTGTGCTACTCTCAAAGCACTGCAACAACATCTGGCTCATCTTCCTTATTAAAGTTCAGTTCCTAAAAAGCCAGGTCAAAAGAAGCAGTGGTGTGGAATCACTGCATAATTATTCTGGTACACAAAGTTGATACTTGTTTCAGTGCTTCTCTGGTGCATGTTGTCTACTCCAGACCTCACTGGTAATCAGCTGTGTCTGATGTAATGACTGCCCAGAAATGGGAGCTCTGCAGTTAGTGCAGTGCATTCACCAACAGGAACCTTCCCCATCCACATATAAATTTTTACCCGAATAGGTAGAAACCACAGCCCAAAATCTGCAAAGACATCTGAAGATGATGCTGTGATGAATGCACCATCATTCAGAGTGCAATGTATGTGGTCATTTTTCTTGTCCGCTTGCAAATGTTGTAGAAGAAGCTTCTTCTCTCTGAGAGAAAATAACTTCAATTATGTGTTCCCAATTACAGAAACGTGGAAATTATCTTCTTTTCAGAAGGTAGAATTAGCCCAATTTGGAATTGAAAGGCAGCCAGAAACATCTTTCACTGATACTTACTTTCCCTTTCATTTTTTTCTTCTTCTTCATCTGCATAAAGTTAGCACTTTCCTTTCACTTCACTCACCAAAACTGATCATCAGTCACATAAACAGTTAAAAAGCATTGCAGCACATTTTTTATTCAATGGCCTGACAAAGACCATACTTTTTAATTTAAGTTATTGACTGTCCAAAACAATCGCAAACTTTCAGACCAAAAAATCCAGCATGGTGCCACATCTCTCATGAGTTGCGCTCCCAAAGAAATATCAAGATTGCCTGCAGCTGTAATTCAATTTCTAATTAAGGCCAACTGATCTCTCTTACAGAGGAGATGCACTGGAAAAAAAATATTTTAATTTTTGATTTATTATCCCAGTGAAAAGTTACAGCTGCCAGAGTACATAAAGCTTCCTGAAAAGACAATTCTGCCTAGATTCACCGCAACACGCACATTCCTGGGTTTACTCCTGGT